GGGTATTGAGGTCGCTCAGTCTAGCTCAGGTATTGTGATCTCACAACGGAAGTATGCCTTAAATATTCTCGAGGAGACAAGAATGACAGGTTGTAGACTTGTTGACACTCCGATGGAACCGAATTCTAAACTTCTGCCAGGACAGGGGAAGCCTATTAGCGATCCTGCAAGATATAGGTAGTTGGTTGGTAAATTAAATTACCTTACAGTGACAAGACCTGACATTTCCTTCCATGTGAGTATTGTGAGTCAGTTTATGGATTCTCCGTGTGATAGTCATTGGGATGCAGTTATTCGCATTCTTCGGTATATAAAATCAGCTCCAGGCAAAGGTTTATTGTTTGAGGATCGAGGTCATGAGCAAATCATTGGATACTCAGATGCTGATTGGGCAAGATCACCTTCTGATAGACGTTCTACGTCTGGATATTAGGAGGAAATTTGGTGTCTTGGAAGAGCAAGAAACAGAATGTGGTTGCTCGGTCTAGTGCCGAAGTAGAATATCGAGCAATGGCTATGGCGACATGCGAGCTATTTTGGATCAAACAGTTGCTCAAGGAGTTGAAATTTGGTGAGATTAGTCAGATGGGACTTGTGTGTGATAATCAAGCTGCTCTTCATATTGCGTCAAATCCAGTGTTCCATGAGAGAACTAAACACATTGAGATTGACTGTAACTTTGTCAGAGAAAAGATACTCTCGGGAGATATTGCTACAAAGTTTGTGAAGTCGAATGATCAGCTTGCAGATATTTTCACCAAGTCCCTCACTGGTCTTCGTATTAACTACATATGTAACAAGCTCGGTACATATGATTTATATGCACCAACTTGAGGGGAGTGTTAGAATAATTATGTAAATAGTAGTAAATAACCCCAATCCCATATGTATTAGGAGTAGGACATGTTATTATATATATAGGGCTCATTGTATCATGTTTAACATATGAGAATAGTATCAATAATATTTTCTCCTGTGCATTCTCACACTTAATAAAATAATTTAGAGACATTTTCAATCAATACTTTTAATCTTTTTGCTGCCCCATCTTTTAAAAAACTAACAAAAAGAAATATGCGGATACGAAGAAATGAAAATACGAGACTAACGCTAATAGTATCGGCATATAAATAAGACACTACCGCTTAACCACTACCCTTCTACCCTAATTCTCAACCTCCATACCTTTCTATCAAGGGTCATGTCCTTAGTTAGCTGAAGTAGCGTCATGTCACGCCTAATCACCTCACCCCAATACTTCTTGGGCTTACTTCTACCTCTCTTCAGCCCCCATAGCCAACCTCTCAAACATCCTCACTGGGGCATCTATGCACCTCCTCTTCACATGCATGTTCCATCTCAATCTAGCTTCCCTCATCTTGTCCTCTACGGGTGTCACTCCTACCTTTTCCCGAATAACAACATTCCTTCTCTTATCTAACCTGGTATGCCCACACATCCATCTCAGCATCCTCATTTCTGTCACTTCCATCTTCTGGACATGGGTTTTCTTAACATGCCAACACTCTTATCCCATATAACATAGTAGGTCTAATCACCACTCTCTAAAACTTACCCTTAAGTCTTGGTGGCACCTTCTTATCACACAAAACCCAGAAAGCGAGCCTCCATTTCATCCATCCCACTCTAATACGCTGTGTGACATCCTCGTCAATCTCACCATTACCTTGGATAATACATTCGGGGTACTTGAAACTCCCATTCTTAGGTATGACTTGTGAATCCAGCTTCACTTCCACGTCCGCATCATGGGTCACGTTGTTGAACTTGCATTCTAAGTACTCTGTTTTAGTCCTGCTTATCTTCAAACCTTTTGACTCCAGGGTCTGTCTCCAAACCTCCACCCTCGTGTTAACACCACCTCGCGTCTCGTCAATTAGTACTATATCATCCGCAAATAACATGCACCATCGCACCTCCTCTTGAATGTGTCGCGTCAGAACATCAGTCACCAAGGCAAATAAAAACGGGCTACGCACGGATCCCTGATGCAAGCCCACCGCGACAGGGAAGTGTTCCGAGTATCCTCCCACCGTCCTAGCCGAGGTATTAACGCCATCATACATATCCTGGATCACCCTAGTATAAGCTACGGACAAACATCTAACCTCCAAACACCTCTAAAGAATCTCCCTCGGAACCTTCATAAGCTTTTTCTAGGTTAATAAACATCATGTGCAAGTTCTTCTTCCTATCCCTATACTGCTCCACTAGTCTCCTAATAAGGTGAATGGCTTCTGTGGTCGATCGCCCTAGCATGAATCTGAAGTGATTCTCGAATATAGATACACTACTCCTCACCTTAACTTCCACCACCTTCTCCCAAATTTTCATGGTATGACTTAGCAACTTGAAAACAAAGAACCCGCTATTAGAAAAAGAAAGCAGGTCAAGTTTAACTTTTATCAAGGAAATATTGATCCCAAAGAGTGAAAGAACGCATAATGGCAAGTATACTGCTGCTAGAATTAATGAGGACCGTCTCCAACCCATCGTAGAAGGACGAGTGATGCTTAAGGAAGATTTTGCGTTAAAGTTCATTTTTAAGTTACAATGTAATTAATCTTGAAACGGAAGTTTATAAATTCTGATCTTGAAATGAACTCTTCCTCATACATCCCCCTTGAATAAACATCATTAGTGTATGCAATATTGAAGACAAAAATTCGTACCAAGGTCTCTTGAGTGCAATAAGATGATCCTTCAAATGGCTCTGCACACAAAGAAAAGCAATCATTTTTTAAGACAGTATGTATGCAGCAAACTATGTGGAAAGACAAAAGTTCTACCTGCATGATACAAATAATAAAGTTGTCAAAATCATACGATCAGGTGCATCATATACCAACCTAAGAGATAATTTTTGTCACAAGTTGGCGTCCACCAGGGCCGCAACTGCAATTCTTCATTGAAGGTCAATGATTTGCTTCCAATTTCATCTGAGAGTTCAAGAAACTGAACTCCATGTTTCAAGCTTTCTAGAATGCCCTAAGAAATCCCAAAAAGAAAATCCGTCACTGAAATATTAAACAGTTAAATACAATTCAAATACCCCCCCTCCTTTTGTAGAGCTTTTAGTTTTTTTTGGTGGAGCTTTTAGTTAGGGAAGCAAAATATATCTCCTTACCTCCCAAATATATATACTACCCCCAAAACTTATTGGGAAAAGTCTGTAAAAATCCATCAAAATTAACAGCCATATAGCACATTAATCCCTTTGACTTTCTTCTTTTATTAGATCATAACTCCACATTACTTCTGAAAACAAGTGCTCTCCTAAAACCAATAGCTTTTGACCAACTCGACCATAAGCTCTTTTTATACAATTGGAGATAAAAGTAAAAAATAAGGAACCATACGCCCATTTATTAAATTATATTATCTAATCAATTCGTGAAGCTAAATTGAAAAGATAACAAAAGAAAGAGTTAAAGGGGAAGAAAAGAATGTATGCATATTGTTCTTTTTTGACAAAGTATTTCAAGTTTGATGGATCTATCTATTGTTGCACTTTATCGAATCAACGGGTATCTCAAGATAAGGTGAAATAGATGTCAAATACCCCAGGGCTAAAATGGTTTTCAAAGGCATTGCAGTTATAAACGTGCAACAAAGAAGTGTTCAGAAGAAAAACCTAAAGTGACATGGAAAAAAGGTTACCTCCTCTTCTTCGATGTTATTTGCTTTCTGCTTTAACTGCAGAATGCTTTTTTCAATCTTTGCCATCATGTACTGGCTAGATTGTTGCAATCGCTCCTTGAACTGAACAAACTCAATAACCTAGAAAATTTACAAATGAAAATATTGTTACCATTATGCCTATTTACTGAATGCTTTATTAAATTATTCTTTTGTTCAAAGAAAGGAACCATTTGAAATGATATTAAAAAGAGAACAATTTAGTTATAATAAGCATTGTGAGCCTCTAAGAAGAAAATAAATATTTGTTCCATCAATACCCTCTCGGAACTCGCATCACAAGAGCTAAGGTGTCCAAATATAGTGAAAAGTACTTCCTGTTAGCCTTTCTCCTCAGTTGCTATAGCCAGAGGAAAGGTTGACAATACAGTGGAAAGAGAAATTATTAAACCCCTTCTATGCGAAAATACTCCCAGAACTACTAAAAACAACTTAACCTTATTTTACTTACTTTGGGAGAAGATGCAGACTATACAAATAGAGGTAAGAGAACTCATGTGCCATTTAAGGAAAAAGGTAGTTCACAAGTTCACTGATTATCCGTTTACCTCCATCAGGTTGACCTTCAGTTAAAAGGCTACTTCCGACATTGAAGCAAGAAAATAAGGGACAAATTTCTATATTTCTGTGAAAGAATTAGATTTTCTCATGATAGGTACTCCTGCATCATGCAGCAAAGCCTAGCATTTGTTCATCTACCTATCAAAGACACAATTGATATAAAGCTATGATTTAACAGCACAATGCACGAACTAGAATCTGCCAATATGGGCGTACAGATATGGTGTAAATTGCATGAAACTTCTGCGCATTCTGGGAGCTTGGAATACATCATCAATTGATTTCAAATTTTTGGTAATATTTTCATTTTATAAATAATGTCTCGCTAATATTTTTATTTTATAAATAATGTTGGATAAATCTTGCAACCATTTAGTTTCCACTGGTAGAGAATCCATATTACAAAAGAAAAGCATTTTCTTAAAGCCGAGATCCGTTGTATTTCCACGAAACCCACGCTAACCCAGCTTGAATTGAGACGGTAAATTTAGCACTACAAACACCGAAGGAATGATTTTCGTAGGTCACAAACTTACTTTAGAGTAACTCCGATGACGATATGCAAGAAATGTAAGATCAGCAGATTCTCTGAAGTGATCATCCATAAATCTTAGATAATCCCTCAAAATATCTGTTGAATCAGCCCACAATGGCGATGATAACATCTGTGGCAAAATATGGTGCGATACACTTTCCAACAATATGTTCTTGACGTCCAGTGTTTTATACCTAAATAGGAAGAGGAGAACTGTTATCATACAAGAAACATGGAAGCTTCAAAAATGGTAATCCCAAAGATTGATTTCCCAATGACAGAAATAGAACATATCACAAACATGTAATGTACAGATTTCTGGTGAACAATGAGAAAAAATGATCTTACCATTCATAAGCCAATGGAAGAGAACTCCAGTGAGAGTACAAATGCAACAGTAAAATCTTGTACTGCCAAATATGTCTGTCAACCATGCATCATAGATAATTTGTCAGGGAAAAAACAACATTTCAAGAGAAGCTAAGCACTAAAAATATACAATGTATCATGAAGGATTATCAGAATTCACATCAGCACAGTTCTCTAGTTATATGATAAGGAACTGAAGTTATTATAGCATATGAATTAATAGCAGTAACTCTATTGGTAGAAAAGTAATAGTAAAATTTATTTCCAAAGTAAAAGGAAAAAGATAGGTAAAGTACAGAAATATAAGCTTCATGTTTCCTGCAGTAGTTTTGAACATGTGCCAATTGTGTAACAAGAACAAAGAACATTAAGGAATCATTCTCGGTGGGCCGTCCTCTCTTAATCTGCACTAACCTTCATTTTTCTCAACTGGTTATCTTAAAAAATCTTCCCTAAGACCAACTTGTTAGGTCTGCGAGTCCATCACACGGTTACGATTCCTTTTCCATACAACTCCAGTACTTTCAACAATTCAAATCTTAAAACTTTGATAGGTTTTCTTCATCATACTAACTTTTCACCCATTGCTTTTATATTTTCTTCGATTATAATTAAAAGTCAAATTAACATCATAAAGTTGAAAACCGTCACATAAAATGGGATGGAGTACTATTTCCTTTTCAAAAGCATCTATTTTTATTTACTCTTGCAGTTTTTTTTTTTTTTTGATGAAGTAAGGGTGATTCATGAATAGGCATCCAGAAGATGCAAAAGATACAAAAAGGTAGATAACTAGCTCCAGTACAAAAATTTATGCTAAGAACAGGGAGCTAATGAAATCCACAAGGTGGCCTGCACTAGTTACAGGGGAAAGATGAATCCAGCTAAATAGATTAACTAAGCAAATAGTCTTGAGGGAGTAGGTTGAAGCTGAGATGCCATCAAAACACCTCTGATTTCTTTCCGTCCAGATACACCAAAAAATTGATTTACTCTTGCAGTTTTTTTGTAAGTAAGAATATAGCTGAGGCATGTTTTATGTGGCTAGTTACACACAAGGCTTCTCTCACTTGAATCAACCTGAAGCGACTGGAAATGATGATATGCAGCAGATTTGTACAAGGAGAAAGAGAACAGCAATCATCCTTTTATGCACTGCGCAGTGTGATGCCTTGCTCCGTGAAAGATTTGTTGTTCAGTTGAGATTATGGTGGTATTAGAAAATCTTTGAAAAGAATATGGAACACAATGCCAGCTTGTGTCTGCTGGGTATCATGGGAAGAAAGGAATTCCAAGTGCTTTGAAGGAAAAAGCAACCCAGTAGAGTTTCTAAAGTACAAATGTTTCTGGTTTTTGCCGTTCTGTTGCAACACTCATGATGTAATGATGAAGACGGCATGATAGAGTTCATCAACTCAGTACAGGATCCCTTTCTTTTATTGTTTTTGTAGGGGGGTTCTCAAATCTTGTAACTCACAAGCACCGTCTTAGTGCTTGGCTGTTGACTTTTGTAATATCACTACTTTACCAGTTTCAGAAAAAAACTATAGCTGAAGTTCAAAAGATTAACTTTCTCGAATGATTGAAAAGACTTATTCCACAATGCAAGTATGCAAACATATACGTCACTCGTGATGTATTTGACACTTGAATATTGCATTACAGCAAGTTCCTAATGTAGATGGATACAGAAACCCAATGTAAAGGTGGCATTTGAATTGGGAAATAGGCTTCTTTTTAGTTTGGTTTTGGTCGTTGGAAAAAATTTATGTATTTTACATTTGCTTCTGAAAGAATTGGGCCTTTATGCAATAAAATGGCTAAAGAAAAGGTTAATAGACAGAAATAGACATAATTATGAGTAGTGGTGGCAAACGAGCAGGTCGGGTCGGATATGGGACGGGTCGAAAACAGGTCATGCAAAAACGGATAAATTATCCGACCGACCCATATTTAATACGGATAAAAATGGGTTAACCGGCGGATAATATAGATATCCATACTATCCATGGCTTCTTGAATATGATCACTTTTTGGAGAAATTCCTAGTCTCCCAAACTTGAGGAACCCCCAATTTGAGGCTTTACAAATGTAAAAATTAAACTCATTAGGTATCCATTGGTTATTTATTTTCTAAGTGGATAATATAATTCTTTCCATATTTGACCCGTTTTTAAAAAGTTCATTATCCATTTTAAAAAATTAAACCCATTTTTTAATGGATCATATGGGTGGATAACTGTTTTCTTTTATCCATTTTGCCACCACTAATTATGAGAATCTGAATTACTTAAGAAAAAACAGATTTAGAAAATTAAAGAACAGCTTAAGTAGAAAAGGGGTTGTTCTATTATTAGAATACATCCATTTGCCTTTTTTCGCTTTTTTCCCCTAGAAACTACTGTACATAAAAAATAAAATAAAAAAATGTTTTGGTTTCCCACGTTTAAAAAAAAAAATTGTTGTTTGGTTTCAAAATCAAAACCAGCTATTCTCTCGAAAACAGGAAATATAGTTTGGAAACCAAGTAGCACACTCTAAGAATTGGCAATGGCATCTTAACCAGACTGTATAATTGCACAAAAGAATCAGTAAAATGGTACATGTTTATGGTTCTAACAGACCATCTCTCCCAGGTATCTGCTAAAATCAAGTTTGGATCTAGTTTTTGACCTACATGAATATTAGCACCTTAGCACCAAATTCCATGTTTCCTTGGGCAACTTTCACTATACCCTTTGTATCCTTCACAGACTTTCCTTTCTTGAGTTGCAAAAATTCAGACTTCAAGGACAACTCAGTTATATCTAGCATAAGTAGCATTGCTGATCTCAAGAAAAACCACTCTTACTTTTACCTCTCTTCACTACACAAGAAGATACCAAACAACCCAATCCATTCAAATCCAACACATAAGTATTCTTTTGTACAACACATAAGTATTCAAGCATAAGTAGCATTGATGCGCCTCATTAAGTTTGACCATTCTGTTGTATGTCTCAATCCTAAAAAGGTCCAGATTGGTTACATGAAAATCCTCATTTGACCATTCTATTTTTTTTTTTTTTTTTTTTTTTTTTTTTGGAGAAGGTAACATAAGTTATATATAAGATACAGTAACCCTTACCACAAAGATTGTGCTAAGACAACAACAACAACAGTATAATCCCACAAGTAGGATCTGGGGAGGGTAGTGTGTGTGCACACCTTACCCCTACCTTGAGAAGGTAGAGAGGTGGTTTTCGATAGACACTCGGCTCAAGAAAAGATGCAAAAAGAAGCAGATAACAAGAAAATCGAGGCGAGAGAAACAGCAGGTAGTAATAGAAATCTAAAAAAGAAAAGGCATGGCTCACGACTGCCTACTACCCTTCTACTCTAATTTTCAACCTCCACACTCCCCTATCAAGAGTTATGTTCTTGGTAAGTTGAAGCAGCGTCATGTCCTGTCTAATCACCTCCCCCCAATACTTCTTTGCCCTACCTCTACCTCTCCTCAGGCCCATCGATGCCAACTTCTCACACCTCCTTACAAGGGCATCTGCGCCCCTCCTCTTCACGTGTCCGAGTCATCTAAGCCTCGCTTTCCGCATCTAGTCCTCCATGGGGACTACGCCCACCTTGTCCCGAATATCTTCGTTCCTAATTTTATCTAGTTTAGTACCGCAAATCCATCTCAATATCCTCATTTCTGCTACCTTCATCTTCTGGACATGGGAGTTCTTGACTAGCAACAAACAACCCCATACAATATAGTCTGCCGAACCACCACTCTGTATAACTTACCTATGAGTTTAGGTGGCACATTCTTATCACACAGAACATCGGATGCGAGCCTCTATTTCATCCACCTACCTCCGATACGATGTGTGACATCCTCGTCAATCTCAACATTCCCTTGGATTACTGACCCAAGGTACTTGAAACTTCCTCTCTTGGAGATGACTTGTGTATCAAGCCTCACGTCCATATCCTCATCATGAGTCACATCATTGAATTTGCACTCCACGTATTCAGTCTTGATCCTGCTCAAATTGAAACCTTTAGACTCCAGTGTCTCTCTAAACCTCCAAGCTCGCGTTAACCCTGTCCAAGCCTCATCAATCAATACAATGTCATCTGCAAATAGCATACACCATGGCACCTCTCCTCGAATGTGACGTGTCAGTGCATCAATCGTCAAGGCAAATAAAAACGGGCTAAGGGCTAATCCCTGGCATAACCCCATCACCATAGGAAAGTGTTCTGAGTCTCCTCTCATTGTCCTCACTCGTGTCTCAACTCCATCATACATGTCCTTAATCACCGTAATGTAAGCAACAAGAACTCATTTAGCTTCCAAACATCTTCATACCACCTCCTAGGAACTTTGTCACATGCCTTTTCTAAATCAATAAATACCATATGCAAGTCCTCTTCCTTTCCCTCTGCTGCTCTACTAATCTCCTTACAAGGTGAAAGGTTTCGGCAGCTGAACGCCCCGACATGAATCCGAACTGATTCTCGAAAATAGACACACTCCTCCTCACCCTCGCTTCCACCACCCTCTCCCAAATTTTCAAGGTATGGCTAAACAACTTGATACCTCTATAGTTGTTGTAATTCCGGATATCACACTTGTTCATGTACGACGGAATCATCATGCTCCAGCTTCATTCTTCGGGCATCTTCTTCGTCCTAAGAGATTACAGCAAATCACAGGACCCCCAAAAAGAGCAAAAACCTAGTCTTCTGGTAGTTACAAGGCCCCAATGATGTCCACTATAGACTCTACATCTTCTACGAGAGCCTCTTTACACCAAAAGTGAAACAAAAATATACGTTCATCTTGATCTTCTATTCAGAACTAAATCTATCTTCAAAGCATCTACGGTTCCTTTTCATCCATATTGTCCACCAACTACTTGGACAATGCTCCACCATTTCTTCTGCCTCAGTTGGATACCTGGAAGAATTGTAACTGCTCTACGTATTCCTTGCACTGCGACAACACTAATGAACCAGCCATAGTCATTGTACTTTTTGGCACAATAAAAACTAAAGACATGACCGCGACACTTCCATCTCCTGATATCATTCTCCTTCCCTTCTGAAGTGATATGCAAGAGTTCACATATCCACAGTCCTCATGAAATTTGTCTTTCGCTCCACCCACTCATACCAAATCTCTGCTCTATCTTTGTTCTCTGTAATATGGAAAGACTTATCACCAATATTGGACTAGATGATGTTATCCATGATAAAAAGAAAGAAAATGAAGTTTTAAAACAATCACCAAGGAAACGGATAAAAAACTAAGTTAATCCACGCAACCAGACATCTCACAATAGGGACATCTCACAGTAGGCACAACTCACTTGAAAGAGGTTTTGGACTCTATCCTAGTGACTCGCTTTTGAGAGCATTTTTTCAAACTTATAAGCAGATGAAAATCATACTACTCTATTTTAAATGTAAATATTCAAGAGTGACCAAGGTCTGCTGGTTAATAAAACATATAGATCAGCAAAAATGTGCATAAAATCAAAGTTCCTTACTAGATCTCATGACCCTCAAAATTAGTAAGAAAATCAAGAACAGGATCCATTAGTCAAGTCTACAATATTTACACATTTCGTGTAAGCCATACATCAGTTAACATGTCTTTATTTTTTTGTTGTATTCAAGAAAGATATACATCTGACCAATGGGATAGCAAATGTAATTTAGAAGCCATATAAAAATTTAAATCTTCTAACCTTCGTACTGCCAAACCAAATTCCAAGATCATAATTGATTCCACCAGATATCCGATATGCCTAGTACGCCAAAAGAGCTACAGCCAGGGGAAGAAGATTCATCAGTTAGACAGTTCCACAAGATACTAACAAGCTTTTCCATTATACACGAACAGAAAGAAAAATATTGACTTAGCAATTGGAAATTATGAAAATTCAAATCACCTTATAGTCAAACACATACATAAGCTGAAAGCAAGCAATACACAAAAACCAGTAAACGCACATTTGGTCAATCTTCCAAAACCTGCTTATTTTGAGAAACACTTTTGCCAAAATGGATTGTCAAAGAAGTACTTGGGGAGAATAGTAGTTTGTATGTGGCCAATCCATTTGAAAAGCACTTACTAAGTACTAGAGGAATGGTTTTGTTTAGCCAATCTTTTCAAAAAGTGATTTTGAGTGTCAAATTATGAAGAAAAAAACATCTAAATATTCGCTTTACAATTAGTATCATTTAAATTTTTTAAATATTTATTATAAAAAACTTAATTATGTTTTTTGATTTTACTTGATTAATATGTAAAATAAAATCACAAATACATTAAAGCTTCTATTTAATATAAGTATACTTAAATCAAGGTAATAATATTGAACATCACAAAATATATACTCCCTCTGTTCCAGTTTATGTGAACCTATTTTCTTTGGTCCGTTCCAAAAAGAATGACCCCTTTCTAAATTTGGTAATAATTTAGCTTAAACTTACAATTCTACCCTTAATGAGAAGCTTTTATAACCACATAAATACTCTGGGCCCCTTTTTGACTTATTTAGGACCACAAATTCTAGAAGTCTTCATTTTTTCTTAAACTTCGTGCCCAGTCAAACAGGTTCACATAAATTGGAATGGAGGGAGTAATTATTTAATTTTTATATGATCATTTAAATATATCAAATTACATCACTTAATATAATATATATATATATATATTGGTCCTAATACACAGATCGCACTCCAACTTGCACGTTTCGCACAGCTGGCCCTTGTACTTAGACTTTCCTCGGCTAAACACCTTTGTTTGGTAAGGACAATCGCATAATGAACGCCTATAACTGTTGGTCATGCTTATCATGCTTGTAAGGAGCAGCAAAAGTCGGGCTAATCATGCTTGTGAGGAGCGGATGTGGTGATAAAAAGAAATTAAAAGAGGGACAAAATATTCACTTCTTTTTCTTTTCTCTGTCTTTTCCTTCCATTCGTTTTCCCTTCTCCTTCCCGTCACTTCCTCTCCCCCACCCCCTTTCTGGAAAAGAAGGCCCTCTCTTCTTTCTTCACTTTTTCACCAATTCACCAACAGTTAACAAAGCACCTATCTCGTACATCCAGAAAAGGAACCTAGTGATTAATTACCAAAAGGAGCTTCGTAGAACCCATTTCATTCACCATCTTCACACCAATGTTATCAAAGGCGCGCTTAAGCGCTAAAGCGAGGCTCATAACATGTTGAGCGCTTCACGTCGCTTAACGGGCGCTTCAGGTTTTGTCATCAAGGCTCTAAGGCGTACTTTTCCTTACTAACAAGCGTAATACGTAAAAGCAGTGTTATCAAAGGCGAAAAGTGCAAAAAAGCTCTAAGGTGTGTTGGGGCTTTAAGCACAAAGCGAAAATAAAGACTGGGCTTTAATGAAAAAAGGCGCAATGGGAAAAAAGTAAAAATATGCATGTAGTCCAAGACTAATCATTATAAGCATGAATAACAAATATATGGACAAAGAAATTAAAAAAATTCACGATAAAGTGAAATATCAATTGTTTAAGTTCGACTTTTCAGGATTACACTCATTGGCAAGGAAAAGTATGCCTTAGAGCTTTGACGTGACACTAAAGCGCCCACAAAGTGAGGCGAAGCGCTCAACGTGTTTTGAACCTCGCTTCAGGGCTTAAGCGCGCCTTTGACAACACTGCGTAAGAGGCGACACTAAAATAATTGATATTTCACTTTATCGTAAATTTTCTTCAATTTCTTTGTCCAGATATATTTGGTATTCATGCTTATAGATATTAGTCTTGGACTACGCCATACATATTTATAGTTTTTCTGCATTTGTGTGTTTCTTCATTAAAGCCCACGCTTTATTTGCGCTTTGCGCTTAAAGCCCCAACAGACCTTAGAGCTTTTTTGCGTTTTTCGCCTTTGATAACACTGTTTCACACCGCCTCCTTCGTGAACAACCCACAACCAAAATACATGCACATACATTTTTTATGAAGTAAGATACTGCATTAAAGGTATCAAGAAGATGCAAAAAGCACAAGAAAGAAGTTTAGTTGTTCCTAATACAAAGTTTTCCTAGGTCAGAGCCTGAAGCTAAACAAAAATCAAAAAAATGGTTGTTAAGCTATAGTGAGAGAGAGAGAGAGAGCCAATAAAATCTAGCAGGGAAATATATCATTTACGAGAAATCGTTAGTATCGTCAGTTGGTGCTTTGGAGTTTGCTAAGCGGTTCTTCGTACACGGAGTGACTAAGGACTTTTTTCCTGTCTCCTCTCACATGTTAAGATCCTTAGTTAGTTCCATATCCCTTGTTCCTATAATGAGGGCTATTATGTCTAAGGATCTTCCATTGTCGTATCGTTTACGGGAAGCTAGGTACCGGGTGTATACTCGACGCTACGCGCTTCTGCTTAGTATGTCGTTTATATGCTTCTTAATAAGCCAGAGGCCCCTCTTTTTTGTTCTTCTTTTGCTTGCGCACCAATCCAGGGGCTAAGGGACCCAATTCTTAAGACTCAAGATGCAACTTACGGGCCAAATAGAGCTTACCTACGGCACCTGGCTTTCTCCGGCGAGCTTTCTATCGTAAATCCAAAGACGCCCCAAGACAAGGTACAACTGTTGCTGCTATCGGTCTATCTCATATTCGCAGAAGAAGGAACTTGCTTAATGCCGGAAGTGTAATTAAGTAGGCGGCTGGTCGTAGAATAGCAGGATAATGTGGACCTCCTTGTGATTTACTTGATCGTCAAGAAGGCTGCAGAGGGTTTCCGTATATAAGGGGGACCTTTATCTCCTAAAGCTACTCATTAGGGAATACCGGCCAAATTAATCTGTCCGCCGCTTTCTTTCATAACAGAGCCGTTATTCCCGGCTGGCATAGAAGTCTCTCGCGCGGGCGAAGGAGATGCATTTCTGGTACTGGTGGTATTGGACAAGCTCTAAGGGAATTAACAGGTTCATCAAACACTTAGATTTCATGGTACAATTAGGAGTTGAAATGCCATCAGAACTTCTGCTATTCCTCTTTGTTCATATACACCGAAAAATGCATGTTGGGATCATTTGCCAGATCTTGATGGCTCTGTCAACTTTCCAAGAGTTTTTTTTTTTTTTTGATGAAATAAGATTCTTCATTGTAGGCATCCAGAAGATGCAAAGTTACAAGAAGAGATTGAGTTAACTCCATTACAACAAAAAACTTAATCTGCTTAGGGAGCTAACTCAAAAAAACAAAAGTAAGGAAATAACTGAGTTAAGCTAGACACATAGATCCAATGAAATCTAGAAGAGGAATTACATTATTTACAGGTGTTAGAGAACTCCAACTAAATAGTTGCACGAGGCATTTGGCTTTGAGAGCATGCATAGAAGTTGAAATGCCGTCAAAGCATCTGTGATTTCTTTCTTGTCAAAGGCACCAAAAAATGCATGCTGGGATTATCTTCCAGACTTTCTTGATGGCCCTTTCAACTTTCCAACTGCTCCAACCTTCCACTGCTTCCCTGATGCCTTGTGGTTGTGTCCAGCTTATTCCCAGGATAGAAAGAAACATATACCACATGTCTGCTGCCACTGGACAATGTAAGAATAGGTGGTTGATTGACTCAGAACTTTGCTGACATAGGTAGCATCTATTTACTAGCTGGAAGCTCCTTTTGCAGAGATTGTCTTGAGTTAGGCAGGCTTCTTTGAGTACAGTCCAAGTAAAGCAGATAACCTTTGTTGGAAGCTTTGTATTCCAGATGAGCTTCCATGGCCACGAGTCAATGATTCCATTATGCTCACACATGCTTCTGTAGCCCATCTTCACTGAATATGGACTTGAGTCACAACCAACCCATCTGATTCTATCAGGGATCTGCTCATTCATAGTGAAGCTTCCCAGTCTACCAAGCAATGTAAACAAACTACCCAACTCCCAGTCATGCATATTCCTTCTGAAAAGTGGGACCCATGAGTTTCCTGATCTATATTGACTTATTGTAGAGTTGGGATCACTAGCAATCTGAACCACTAACTGTTAGATAGTTATTATGTATAGTGTCCCACATTGGGAAATAGATCTCTACTTCTATCTAAACAATGTATATAAATAGGTATTTTGTAAGATACTTTAGGTAATATAATATCAATAATATAATTTTCCCATACTTTCTCACATGGTATCAAAGAAACATCCGGGACAGAAAAGGCAGTCGTCGTGTGTCTTTCCAATAACCTTCCGATCTGATTTGCGCCATCTTTGTTTCCGTGAATGTTGTTCGAAAAGCAACACCACCAGCAGGTTCCTCAGGTTCCGGCGAGAAAACCCCAGCCAACCCCACCGGAAAAGTCCTCCCCATGCGCCCTCACGCGCCGGACAGAGGAGGAATTTTCCGGTGAGATCCGTTTCACGCGCCGGCGCGTGGGACCTGTTCCGGCCACTTTTTTGCAAAATTTCTTCAGGACAGCTTGCTCGCAAGGGAATTTCGAGCCTACACATCCAGGTTAAACCAAATTCAGTCGGCCTTTTTATTATTCGGCGAGTTGTTTGCAAATTCTGGTTTATTGACCTAGAGAAGGCGTATGACAAGGTCCCTAGGGACGTTCTTTGAAGATGCCTGGAGGTGAAAGGGGTGTCGGTAGCGTACATTAGATCGATAAAGGATATGTATGATGGAGCTAAGACTCGGGTCAGAACAGCGGGAGGTGACTCAGAGCTTTTTCCGGTGGTTATGGGGTTACACCAAGGATCTGTGCTTAGCCCGTTCTTATTTTCCCTGGCGATGGACGCCCTGCCATGGTGTATGTTGTTCGCTGATGATATAGTTCTGAT